AAAAAAAAAAAAATCTGTGCAAAGAAGCGTGGAACTGAATGAAAGAAAATGCGATAATATAAAAACGATGACTTGGTCAACATCAAATCACTTGCGAGCAATCAAAAAGTTCTAACCCATCTGACGACTTGACACAGAATTGCTTTTTTTTTTCTCAGAAGAGTCTGCATTAGACACTAAAACACTTGAAATGTCGCATTCGTTTAATTAATACCCATAATAGTATATCATAATGGGGAAAAAAATCGCATACGAAGCAGATATCTTAACGTGCAATAAAGAAATATAAGTATTGTCCTTAATTAAATTAGATGAACAACACCAACCCAAATCAGATCGAAAAACAACTTGAGCAGCTGCATCGCTGCACAAGGTCAAAATGAATATGGAATGTCGACATAAAAAGCAGAACATAAACACAATATTGAAATGAAACCGGAGTCGGAAGCTTGTGCCGAATGGATTGTTGAGAGTTACTGAATGAGTTGAGAAACGTTGGTTGATTGAGAGAGAAAAAGAGATAGAGAATGTATGAGCACAGAGAAAATGAATTAGCCTAAGAGACATCAGACACAGTCACATCAATAACGGTTGGCAATAACAGTAAAACGAAAATATGTAGATAAAGTTTGGGCTTCTTCATCAGTTTTTATCTTTATGTACTATTTGCTGTCTCTGCTTTGCACATGCAGCAAATGTTTAAACGGTTGTTGATACATCGCACTCACTTCCATTTTGCGTTCAATCAGATAAATGGCTGTGAATGGTGGTGTATAATGCGTTACATCGTCATATCAACGCTTGCCCTTGTCTTCGCCGAACCAATTGCTCGGGCTCACGCACCACTTAATCTAGCTCATTACAAATATATAAGAAAAGTGTACATATGAAAAGTAGACCTTAAAATGGCTGCGCGAAAATCATGCCAGAATATAGATAAATGCCTCGATAAGAGTGATCGAAGTGAAAAGAATGGAAATGAAAAAAAAAAATGCTCTCAAAACCGATAAATTATTTCGCCGAAAAATAATTCGATGAAAGAGAAAAGCAGAGAAAGAGCAGTGAGGAAGAATGGCATGAACAACGATAACACCGAATACGCGAGAAAACTTCATAAAGAAATGGTTAAGCTCGTTTAGGGGATTTGTACGAAAGACGACAAAGAAAATGGATTTTCGGTTGGAAAAAGTTGTGTCGCCATTCACAGTGCTCACTGTTTTTCTACTACTTTACCAGAACACACTACCAAATAGTTGAGCAAAATGAAAGTTTTCATGCCATTTTTTTCTGCTTTTTTCGTACTCAATATGCTGATGGTATGTATTATTTTCATGATCGACAGAATTTGCGAGCTGCTGGAAAATACTCAGCTAAGTAAAATCTATCGCAGACCACACACACACATACACTCTTAAATGCAAGACGATGTTGCATAATGTAACAAGGTGCCCATGGTACAATTTCGAATATTTTCACCGAACCATCATCTCGATACAACCGATTTTGGAAGAATGAAAAAAAAACGAACATCTCAAATCCGTTGACAGAGTGCTTTCACCATTCAATTACGGAACTGGCGGAAGATGGATATTGTTGCTTGGGACTACGATGGATTTTAACAAAAATAAAAGAAAAAATTGAAAGCAAGCAGTAAAGAAAGCAATATTTCCTTGTGTTTCGAAAAATAAACAAACATGAAACATTTGTACAAACGGAAAATGAAAACATAAACAGCAATACAAAATAAGAGAAAGAATGATAGCGAATTGTTGTTCATTTTCATTGGAAAAATGGAGGAAAAAGTTTTCGCTTTGCTTTCATTCGGAAAATATGGAAAAAGGACCGAGGCACGACAAAAAAATAAAATAAAATAAACCAGTAAAATTCTATTTATGCTGCGAACCATTGTATTTTGTATATTGCGCTATTCCACTTTATATTCGAAGTTCGTCGAAAAAGGAGTGTTGCATGAAAAATGACAATATGTTATATTCAGTTTAAATGGTGGTGGTGCCATTGCTTCTGCTACTTCGACTGAATAACGGGACGAAGTAAATTCGATAAACATCAAAAGAACACAGTAGAAATCTTTGCTTCGCATTTGGACACCGTCGATGCAGGTGAGTCTTCGTCGGTTCGTGCCGTGCGCGTACATTTATTATTAAAGATTATTAAAAAGAAATGGTTTTATATGAAATATGACATGATGCGCGGGAGCGGCGGTAGCGACGCTTTTTTAATAATTCAAACGGACATAATCGTGGTGAATTCAACGTTGGTTGGGATAGTACTTCGTGCTTTATATCGCTAAAAGCGAGGAAATGAAAATGGTTTCTGTTTACGAAACGACAAAGGAAATATTTGGTGAATTATTTCTTTGAGCTTGAATGAGAGCAAAATCTGTGAGAAAAACATCTTTTGTGCATAACGCTTTTGATTTGGTTAATAAGAATAAGAAGAAGAATAAGAAGAAGACAAGGCGCTGTTTGGAATGCAAACGAAAGCGAAGAAAAACTTGGTTTTTCTGCGAGGCAATATGCCTTTCGATTCTGTTCTGCCGTCTCATTAAACATTCTGTGGAGTGCTGTATCAATGTCATAAACTTTTGAAATCTTAAAACCGTAAGAGACCAGTCTTTTCTAGTCGCTCCTTGTGCAGTCAAATCCATGGTGGCGCTCTTCGTTTTTGCAAACAGAGTGCTTATGTAACGTCATACACATGCATATTTATACACATATACACACACAAGTTACCGCAATCAAGTAAAACAACAATGAATTGTTGAAACTTAACTTTTGAAGTGCTTTGAAAACGTCGAGTATGTCGCAAAGTACGAACAAGCGCGCGTTGGCAAAACACAACTAATAAAATGCCCTGTCGAAATGAAAAGCCACTCATGGCACTTTTAAGTTCATGACGGTGAAAAAAAAAATGCAATATTAACGCTGCTCTATCATCAAAAAGTCATATTACGACGAATTGCATAGTAAAAATAGTAATCTTTTGCCATTTAATAATGTACAGTAAGGGTAGAGAGAAGACAGAGAGGAGCAGAGGGATGAGAAGATATGCACTGCAATCTCTGTGTTTCCATTTTGTTACCATCCCCCAAACCGTTGCATATCCCATTTTCTAATCTAGATGCTGTTTTGTGTCGTCCTTTATATGAGCAAAGCATTACGAAAGAATAGAAACACGACTGAAAAACATCAGAAGAACAAATGATGAATGCTCTTATTACATGCAGACATGTGGCTGCGGATGCATTGTTATCAGTATTTTATCCATCTGTGTTTATGCAAATTTTTTCCACATTTTACTATGCTTGTTACATGTAAATGGCAGATAAAAACCATAAAATGTGTGATTGTAACCGGAATTGAATGAGACACGGACACAAGTGAGATTGATATTGATGAAACCATGAAAATCCAATCTCTATTGATCGAGAGATGAAATAAAAGCCGTGATTATTTCGGTATAGTTGTGGTTTCCACTTATTAAACACGTCATCGAATTCGAACTGAACCGAACTGAACTAGAGTGAACTCAGCATCGAAAATCCATAAAATAAAAATGGGGGAGAGAGAGAGAGCAGGAGCATCAAGACAAACCGTCTCTATTGATTTTGATTAAGTCGGAGTGCACGCGTATAAATTCCGTATAAGAGGCGAACATATTTCTTCGAATTCAAGTGGAATAAAATGTTGGCATCGAAACCGAGAGCGACATGGTTTACCAAAAGTGTTTTTGGTAAAACAGAAAATAAAAGACTAGCATATTACGCATATCTGCGAGCGATACATACACAACAAGTTTGAATATGAGCAATTCATGTTGAATACAAACTGATATGTATACACATGATTGTCTACAATGGAAAAATTTTACGCACATTCAACATTCATGTAATGTCTAGAATGTTCAACGAATGTAATGGGGCTATAGAACTTCGGTACACCGTATCGTACCGATTTCGAAGTCCATTGTAGTATGCGATAGATGGAAGCGCAACATAAAAAAAAAATCAATAGAATATTACATATTATCCGAACTGTGATGAAAGGTGAATAGAAAATGCAAAGGGATACGAATATAAGAAGGAAAAAAAAGCAAAACCAAGCAAGAGCACGAAAATCTATAACTTTTCCGCCATCCATGTTCAGCACAACGAGCTTCAATATTGAGATATCAACGAAACGAACTCACCGTACCTCGAAATTGAAAGCATTTCCGAGTGAGCGAGAATGAATTTCAAATTTTCCCGATACCCGTTGTGAATGCCACCGTTTGAAATGGTATTAAAATAAATGTGTAAACAAGAAGCATTTCTCTCAATTCGCTTCAATTCATTTTTCGACATTTAGTTTGTAGCACTTGGTGATCTTGACGACGTTGATTTCATTATTTTTACTTGACAGCGTACAATTTATTTGCGTTTTGTGCGGCATTTATTACATACATATACACAGTTTGTTGTTCAATATATTACAAATGAATGTTTAAGCATTTATTTCGATGAATTCAGTCGATTGGTCGTTCGGTGTGCAAATGTATTGTGATAAAATTAAAATTATATTTCCTTGAATCGTGCGTCGAACGAGCATAAAAAACAAAACAAAAACACCGTAAACGTAACGTACACGGTCAACCAGACGATGACGTTTCCACCGTGTTCATATTCAGTGGTTTACTATAAGTCTTGACAAAATCGCAAAACTAAAAAAAAAGAACCGACTTGAACAAACAAAGTTACTACAGAATGGTTGCCGTTGTTCCGTCATTTTAATGGTCAATACAGTACAAAAAAAATAATACTATATTTATGATACACTTTATAACATTTTGTTTGTACAAGTCACAAACTACAGAAACTTTGTTATCAAATGAACTGAACCAAAATGAAATCGAATACTTGAGGTATTCAACACAACAAACAAAAAAAACTAAGCTAATTGTTTTCACAAACACCAAATAAACTACTTGTTTCAAGCACTTACTCTAGTCGTGCGGCGTTCGTCTCTTGGGCCAACTCCAAATAAAAGTAATCCCAATTGCAACAGATTTAGTAGTAATTCACACAACAAAATTTGATAATTCAACAAAATGAATTTGTTTGTTTATTTCTCACTGCGTTTCAATCTGATGTGAAAGTTTGCTTAATTTTTCTTTCTCTGTTGATATAAATTGTACATCACCAATACGTTCGTTTTGTTAACGAATATCAACAAAGAGCGATACACCGTATTTTCTCGTTTGTTCGTCAGTTGCGACAGATCCAAATAAACTGAAGCATCGCTTATGTTGGCTATTCATTTGAACCGATGATTTTGTGTACACATCACATCATATATGCATTGCATTCAGACGCCACTTCTGTGTGAGTGCTCATAATGGATTTGATGTGATTGAGCTTGTGTGTATAGGTGCATGACTTGTATGTGTTCGTGTTTATGTACTGTAGAGAATCAACAGCAATGAAATTACGTTTCCATCCGTCTCTTTCACTCCAACAATCAACGGCACAATTTACTCCATTGTATATCTATCCTGGTTGTATTTGTGCATAAAGCGGAGAACACAATCCACGTACACTTTAGTACACACCAATTGAGGCATTCTCTCTCTCTCTTTCCATATAATATATGTATAGTTTATTGTATTGATGTACAAATTGCGAATCAAATCTATGAGCACACCGAGACATATTTTATTTCGCCGTATGGTGCGGTGTGTATATAGGATATATTTACATATTTTTCTATTTTTGCAAATGCGGACGGCTGGTATTATTTTTCGGTGGAGATTGGTAAAAAAATGTTTCGACTGAAATTAGCATTATACATTTTTTTATTCATGTGGAGTTGGTATTATACATTATTCTTGTTGGAGTTTTGTCAGCGACAGAAATACTTGTTCAAGCGTTGTTTGATTGATTGAATAGTCTTCAATTGGCAGAGTTTGTTTAGCTATTTCCATG